GCCCCCCCCCCCCCCCGCCACACACACACACACACACACACACACACACACACACACATTGTGCTGAGTGTGTCCGGCAGGGGGCGCCTGGCCAAGAGGTGAGGGGAGGCTGAAATCCAGACCACACTGCTTGCCAAGCCTTGCTCCAAGGGGGTTGCTTCTTCCTTGAGGGTGCCTCTTGGTAGTTCACACAAAAGAACCATTTAGACAAGCCGTGATGCGGGTGCGTGCGTGTGTGTATGTGAGAGAGAGAATGTGTGACTGTGTGCTTGTGTCTGTGTGGGTATCTGTGTATGGGTGTTGAGAATGTGTCTCCGTATGAGTGTGTTTCCATGTATTTGTATGTGTGTGCACATGTGTCTCTGTGTGTGAGTGTATGCATATGTCTGATCCACCCATGAGCTCACCTGTCAACATCAGATTGAATCCCGTGGAAATTGCACCTCTTCCCTTTCAAACCACCCTTTAGACTCCTCTCCAGCTACTTTGTTCTTGATGTTTATTTTGGCCCTACATGACCCTCTGCCTTAAAGAGAGGGGCCAGAGGGAAAGGCTATAGGAATGACTGATTTGGCACAGATTTCTGGGGCCTTGCTGTGCAGGGGTTTCCTGTCTATTTGCACAGGAGGGCTCTATATAGTGAGCTTATAGACAGGAACCCACCTCATCGGAACCCTGATGCACACTGACGGGTGCTCGTGGAGGTCCAGGCTTCCCCATGCTGGGATCCTCACTATAGTTTGAAAACAAGTATGAGAAAACCTTTCCTTGTACTTTTTTTCTACTCATTTGACATATGTTTAGCCAACCTGCATGAGGAACAAGGGCCTTCCCTGGTTACGGCAGAGTGGATGAAGAGACACTGGGGCCAATACCTTCCGAGACTGCAGTGCACCTTCTCTCTTCCTTTAGACTCAGGTGGCCTGTGCATATGACCACATTTGGGTGAGAACAAGAGGGCGACTGGTTAAGGGAGACAGGTGAAAGACTGCAAGGACCGGAACAAGAATGTCCTCTCTGGCCATACATTCCATGTCTCTGGAAATCTGGAAACATCCACTAACCTATCACAGTCAAAGTACCGAGTTCTCCAAATACAACAGAGAGGCAGAGCTCTGACTGGGGACAGAAGTTCTAGAAGAACATAAAAGGGGCCTGGGTAGTCACTCTTGGGTCTGCATTCATGCCACGGAGCCAAATGCACACTCACCATGGCCAAAGAGGAGAAGTTTCACTCAGCTGTTATCTAGAATTCTCACATTTAGCTCATGGGAGATCATTAAACAAAGTCTAGGTTACTTAAGTTGCCAAGGGAACCTGGAAATAGATCACCATTTTCTAGCACTAGCTCAATTTGGGCCAGTAGGTAAAACAGACACCAGAAATATTACTCCGGTGTGAGACAGAAAGCAGGGCCGAAGGGCCATGCCTCATTACCGATGCTCATAATAGACAGCAGCACGCAGGTGTGCTTTCTGCTAAAGGAGGGGCCTAGGTGGCAGCCGCATGAGGAATTCAGTGAATGTCATCCCCGTCTAAATGGCATCATCAGTCTGCTCGGCGTGGCAGCTGTCGAGGGAAGTGGAGCTGGTATTAGGAATACAGGGCTCCCCGTTCTGTGGCCACATCTTCATTCACAAAAAATCATGATGTGGCATCTTACTCTGTAGCTTTTCACAGGTGGTAGACAGGCTTTGACAGATTAAAATGGAAATTCAAGCATCCTTCTCCAAAGCGCTGCCAGACTAGTAATCCTTGCATTTATACTTGATCAAGGCTGCACATACTGGTTAGATGGATTGCAAAAATGGTTAAGCTCTCCTAATATTGAAGAAAGCAGCAGCTCAATGTCTTCTGCTCACATAAGGCCCAGTACTCATTTTATATTAGAGGCGAACCAGTATGCAGTATTATGTGATATTTACATATTTACTCCATGAATCAGAGAGATAGAAAAGAAAGGGACAGAAAGACAGCACCCCAGCACAGTCTACCCCTCCTCCCAGCCCTAGCCAGTCCCGGGTCATGGGCATGCATGTGCCAGGCCTACTCAGGGAGATCTCCAGATGGGAATTTGAAACTTCCCATGTGGGTCAGCCTCCCAGAGTGTCATGTTTACTTCTGTGCCCATGTCTAGCCCCCACAGTATTCAGTTTTTAAGTAATGAAACCAGAATTCTAAGTTTTTTGGGGAAGTGCATGTTCTTTACCATTTTTATTTTGGAAAACATGTATCTTTAAGGCAAAAAAAGAAAATGAAAAAGAAAAAACACGTCGCTATTTTTGGTAATTAATTCCTGGTTTTACCAGCACATAGATATATGGAGTAAGAACAGAACCAAAGAAAGGAATGTTTTCTCTTTTTTTTTTGGCCAGTGGGTATGTGTGCTTGTCAGAGAGACAGAGACAGAGAACTCCTCAGTGAGGCATGGTCACGCTGCAGTTCTTCTTCCTCTCTCTCTCCATCCTGTCAGGACTTGGGGCATGCACATGACCAGCATGTTTTCAAGCTACCGGTGCTGAGATCTGAACCGTGACTGGCTAGGTGGGATCTGACCCACATGCACAGGGCTTAACTACTGAGCTTTGGAAACCAGCCCAGGAGTGTTTTCTTACTTTCTTTTTTATAAGACAGAGACAGAAAGCAAGAAATCACCCCCCAGGGGGGATGGCCACACCACAATCCCTTCTCCTCCATTCTCCTCTCGGGATCTTGGGCACACATGCACTTGCACCCGGCATGAGTTTAAGCCTCCAGGTCCAGGACTTGAACCGCGGTTGACTACATGGGAGTCCAGTGACATAGCCATTACACTAACCGCTGGTTCCAGAATATTTTCTTTATAGAGTATGTTTGGTAGTTTCTCAACATACCTAGGCCCAGATTTAATTGTTTTAGATGTTATTAATGCTTTCCTTCTGGGAAAGTTAAAAAAAAATAGGTAACGGTCCATGTTTATACCACTCTCCTGTAAAGCTGTGAAATCACATAGGCCTCCAAGTTGATCTCCAAAAGGCAAGAGGAAAATGTCTTTGAAAGTAAATTTTTTTTTATAATAAATGTTCGTGCCAGTCAGTCAACAGATGTTTGCCATATGCTGTGCTCGCCTCCCTGATCTGGGAGCAGCCATTTTTACAGAACCAGTCAGGGGTAATACAGGACAGATTTAGACCAAAGTATTAATAGTATAAAACTAGATTTAATGTGAATTTATTAATCCTTAGTTCAACTTATACCTAGTATTCTGGAGCAATTTGCCATTTTTTGTATCATTCAATCATTCAGTTACATTCAGTAACTGATAGTGGATGGCACCAAGAATATAAATATTGGAAAATATTATTCTTGGTCAAGAGTCAGTTGACAGTCTGCATTTGACAGCACCCTCTTGTTTTTTGAGATAACAGATATAAAGGGCAGAGATGGAGTGTCTGCTTCTGCATACATCCCTCCATTCAGCCCCCACCCCTTCCAGGTACCTGCCCCCAGCAGTAGGTGGGACCCTGCCAGTATGGTCACGGTATGATTGGTCAGAGGCGGAGCCACAGGTGTGATCTGATTAGTCTTACCCACCCTGGAATTACCAGGTATTTTCAAACAGCCGTGCCCTCTGTGCTGAGTGTTTAGTGAACCTTAAGGATTTTTTTTTTTTTGAGAGGTTTTTGCTATAGGGTGCATGCAGCTGCCAGAAGGACAGAGAGAGACACAAAGACAGAAAGCGAGAAATCATCTCCCAGGAGGATGGCCACGCTGCAATCCCTTCTCCTCCATCCTCCTCTCGGGATCTTGGGCACGCTCGCACACGTGCCTGGCGTGAGTTTAAGCCACTGGGTCCGGGACTCAAACTGTGGTCGACGACATGGGAGTCCAGCGACATAGCCATTACGCTATCTGCTAGACCCAGGAATTGTATTTTTTTTAAGCAAACATGTTATTAATATTTTTTACCTCTTATATTCCAATCTCTCTCCCATCCACTACCTATTGTAGAATTTGTCATTCTGTGGCAAACGATATTGAGAAAGGCTGGTTTCATTGTATTTTCTTTTCCTTTTTTTGGCCATACTTGGTCAAATGTGAATGTAGGGGAGGGAGACAGGTAGTAGATGAGGGTCAGGACGGCTGCTCTGGACTCGGCATGCCTACCAGCTGGCTGTGTGGATTGGACTCTGCTGTGGGGTGTTTCTGTGATTTAAGGTTTTGAGGTTCTATCAGAAATGCCTTCAGACCCTTGGGGCCAGATGATGGTGTCGTGGTGAAACCCGATGGTCTGGGAGGCTGACCACATGGGAATGTTTCCAGTTTGTGTCTGGGGACCTCCCTGAGTAAGCCATGCGTGCATGTGCCCACTATCCAGGGCTGGCCGAGGCCGAGGGGTGTGTCGTGGTATCAAGACCCTGTCAGGGATGTTGTCTCTCTCCATGAGGCAGGGATTTTGTGGTGGAATGAATGAATGAATGCCTGAGTGAATAAATGAATGGTAATTCTTCGCATTTTTCTAAAAGAGAAAAAGTGCCCCCCAACAGGGTCTGGTCATGCTACCATTCTTTTTTCCTCCAATCCCATCAAGATCTTGAGCACATCGGGACCAGAAGTTGGCATACTGGCTATGTCACTGAACTCCCATGTAGTCGACCGCAGTTTGAGTCCCGGACCTGGTGGCTTAAACTCACACTGGGTGCGTGTGTATACGTGCCCAAGATCTCAAGAGGAGAATGAAGGAGATGGAATTGTGGTGTGGCCATCCCCCCGAGGGGTGATTTCTCACTTTCTGTCTCTGTCTCTCTCTGTCTTTCTGGTGAGCGCACGCGCCCTATAGCAAAAACCTCTCCACAAAAAACAAAAACAAAAACAAAAAAAAACATCCTGGGGCACATGCATGGCCAGGACTTGAACCCTGGGTCAACTGTATGAGATTCAGCCTCCTCTGTACAGGCCTGACTGCTGCGCTTCAGGGGCAGCCCTGTGGCATTTTATCCCAAGGGTTTTATCTTCACAGTTCCCATTGAAGAAGCTTTAACCTCTCTTCCTCTGAGAGCACCCCACTTTACAGTGGGACCTCAGACTCCCTGCGTGTGAACTTCTGCCCTCCCACTATGCTCGATACAGTCTAGACTGGTTCCTGATACCTCTCTTTCCCAAATAGATTAGACATGGGCTTTACCTGACACAGGAGATACATTTTTAAAGAAAGATGTCTTTGTTTTTTTGTTCTGCAATAGAGCATGTGCATTCACTGGAGAGAGAAAGAGAAAGTGAGAAATCACCCCACAGGGGGAATGGCCATGCTGCAGTCCCTTCTCTTCCATTGTCCTCTTAGGATTTGGGGCACACACATGCACCTGGCATACTTCTCAAACGACCAGATCCTGGATTCAAACCGTGCAGTTGGCCATGTGGGATCCAGCCACCTTAGCTACCGCACCACAGTCTGGCTCAGGAAAGAATGTCTTAATTGTAAAGAATTTGGAAGACAGTGGGAAATTTCAATGTAATTTAGATAGGTCATAGTAAGGGATTATTAAAATTTTATAGTGTATTGATAGTATTACAGTTTGGCAGGAGATGACCTTGTTATTTTATTTTATTTTTTTTGTATAGGGTGCATGTGCTTGCCAGACAGACAGAGAGACATTCTCCTCTCAGGATTTTGGGCACACACGCACATGCGCCTGGCATGAGTTTTAAGCCACCCAGTCCGGGACACAAACTGCAGTTGACTACGTGGGAGTCCAGTGACATAGCCATTACGCTAGCTGCTGGTCCCAAGATGTCCTTGTTTTTTAAAGCTGCACGCTGAAGTGCTTAGGAGTGAACTGTCATTATATCTGTCATTTAGAATACTTTAGCCAAAGGGTGGCTGGTGGCGTGGTGGTTAAGGGCACTGGATTCCCACATGGCCAACCATGGTTTGAGTCCTGGATCTGGTGTTTAGCGACATAGCCATTACGCTATCTGCTAGACCCAGGAATTGTATTTTTTTTAAGCAAACATGTTATTAATATTTTTTACCTCTTATATTCCAATCTCTCTCCCATCCACTACCTATTGTAGAATTTGTCATTCTGTGGCAAACGATATTGAGAAAGGCTGGTTTCATTGTATTTTCTTTTCCTTTTTTTGGCCATACTTGGTCAAATGTGAATGTAGGGGAGGGAGACAGGTAGTAGATGAGGGTCAGGACGGCTGCTCTGGACTCGGCATGCCTACCAGCTGGCTGTGTGGATTGGACTCTGCTGTGGGGTGTTTCTGTGATTTAAGGTTTTGAGGTTCTATCAGAAATGCCTTCAGACCCTTGGGGCCAGATGATGGTGTCGTGGTGAAACCCGATGGTCTGGGAGGCTGACCACATGGGAATGTTTCCAGTTTGTGTCTGGGGACCTCCCTGAGTAAGCCATGCGTGCATGTGCCCACTATCCAGGGCTGGCCGAGGCCGAGGGGTGTGTCGTGGTATCAAGACCCTGTCAGGGATGTTGTCTCTCTCCATGAGGCAGGGATTTTGTGGTGGAATGAATGAATGAATGCCTGAGTGAATAAATGAATGGTAATTCTTCGCATTTTTCTAAAAGAGAAAAAGTGCCCCCCAACAGGGTCTGGTCATGCTACCATTCTTTTTTCCTCCAATCCCATCAAGATCTTGAGCACATCGGGACCAGAAGTTGGCATACTGGCTATGTCACTGAACTCCCATGTAGTCGACCGCAGTTTGAGTCCCGGACCTGGTGGCTTAAACTCACACTGGGTGCGTGTGTATACGTGCCCAAGATCTCAAGAGGAGAATGAAGGAGATGGAATTGTGGTGTGGCCATCCCCCCGAGGGGTGATTTCTCACTTTCTGTCTCTGTCTCTCTCTGTCTTTCTGGTGAGCGCACGCGCCCTATAGCAAAAACCTCTCCACAAAAAACAAAAACAAAAACAAAAAAAAAACATCCTGGGGCACATGCATGGCCAGGACTTGAACCCTGGGTCAACTATATGAGATTCAGCCTCCTCTGTACAGGCCTGACTGCTGCGCTTCAGGGGCAGCCCTGTGGCATTTTATCCCAAGGGTTTTATCTTCACAGTTCCCATTGAAGAAGCTTTAACCTCTCTTCCTCTGAGAGCACCCCACTTTACAGTGGGACCTCAGACTCCCTGCGTGTGAACTTCTGCCCTCCCACTATGCTCGATACAGTCTAGACTGGTTCCTGATACCTCTCTTTCCCAAATAGATTAGACATGGGCTTTACCTGACACAGGAGATACATTTTTAAAGAAAGATGTCTTTGTTTTTTTGTTCTGCAATAGAGCATGTGCATTCACTGGAGAGAGAAAGAGAAAGTGAGAAATCACCCCACAGGGGGAATGGCCATGCTGCAGTCCCTTCTCTTCCATTGTCCTCTTAGGATTTGGGGCACACACATGCACCTGGCATACTTCTCAAACGACCAGATCCTGGATTCAAACCGTGCAGTTGGCCATGTGGGATCCAGCCACCTTAGCTACCGCACCACAGTCTGGCTCAGGAAAGAATGTCTTAATTGTAAAGAATTTGGAAGACAGTGGGAAATTTCAATGTAATTTAGATAGGTCATAGTAAGGGATTATTAAAATTTTATAGTGTATTGATAGTATTACAGTTTGGCAGGAGATGACCTTGTTATTTTATTTTATTTTTTTTGTATAGGGTGCATGTGCTTGCCAGACAGACAGAGAGACATTCTCCTCTCAGGATTTTGGGCACACACGCACATGCGCCTGGCATGAGTTTTAAGCCACCCAGTCCGGGACACAAACTGCAGTTGACTACGTGGGAGTCCAGTGACATAGCCATTACGCTAGCTGCTGGTCCCAAGATGTCCTTGTTTTTTAAAGCTGCACGCTGAAGTGTTTAGGAGTGAACTGTCATTATATCTGTCATTTAGAATACTTTAGCCAAACATTGGCTGGTGGCGTGGTGGTTAAGGGCACTGGATTCCCACATGGCCAACCATGGTTTGAGTCCTGGATCTGGTGGCTTGCTTTCTTACTTTCTCTCTCTCTCTCTCTCTGGTCAAATTTAAATAAATAAATAAATAAAGTTAAATAGAATTTCTTTAAAAACAAAAACTAAAACAAAAACAACTTGAGCCAAAATAAAAAACAGAAGAGGCGATATACCAAGGTTTCCTGGTGCATCCAGGTGATAATTCACGTAAGGTAATTATGTGGTTTCCTCCACTTCTCTGTACACGTGAGCATTTTCATAGTCAAAAGTCAAGTGGGTGAATAAACCTGATCGTCCACTGGAGGCCCATGTGGCTGACTCTGTGCTGCCACATTTGCGAGGCTCTCTGCGGAGGTGCAGAGGTGACTGGTTCTGTCTCCCTCTGCCTCGCAGAATTTCTCTGGAAGACCTGAGCCCCAGCGTGGTGCTACACATGACGGAGAAGCTGGGCTACAAGAACAGTGACGTGATCAACACCGTGCTCTCCAACCGCGCCTGCCACATCCTCGCCATCTACTTCCTCTTGAACAAGAAGCTCGAGCGCTATCTGTCGGGGGTAAGTGGGACCCCAGAGGAAGTTTGCACTGCTCTGTGTGGGAAAAGAGCTCTTGCACCTGCAGCATTTCCCGGTTGCTGACACTCGATCCCAGTTGCTAATTGAACCTCGGGTAAGGCTCTTTCCTGAAGGGGGAAGAAAGTAGTAACAAGGCCTGTCTCTCAGGTAGGACTTCGTTTGTTCTGAATTTGTGACAGGGCATGTGCGTGTGCACGTGGGAGTGAGAGAGGGGAGTACTCTCCACAGGGTCTGGTCACATTGCGATCCCCTCCCTCCAGGCCTCCAGCCTGTCATCTTGTCGGCACTTGTGGGCATGACTTTTGGGTTTCAGGCCAGTTGCCCGGTGGGACCTGGCATCCCTCGAGTAGCCCTTTACAGCTATGCCAGCGCCCAGCCCAGGTAGTGCTTTGTACCTGATGAGTTTTTCAAATATTCTGCCATCAAGGTAGGCCTTGGGCAGAATTGTGAGGACTTCAGGCCTCTTTGACCTTCACTTTCTCTGTTGCCTTGTTCTGCTCCCTCTCTCCTTGCCGGATTCTGAATATTAGAGGCATTAGAACTTTACTCATAAAAGTTGGGGAGAAAAGGTTCTCAGGCCTTCATCTCTAAATTCCAGTATATGAGAAAAACACTACTGACATTTACTTCTTCAAAAAACAAGAACAAAGTTGAGCTTCACTCACCGACCCCAACACCTTTGCTTAGTCTGGGTGTCAGAAAATCCAAGTGTTCTATGTCACATCTGAGGTACAGGCAGGAGTCCCACAGCAAGGGGTGGACAGGAAACCCCGATGTCTCGATCCCCATCATCCTTTTGCCACAAGAAGTTCCTGTGTGTCTCTGTGTGGAAATTCACACACCTTGGCAAGCATCTGATATTTAGTTTGGATGAAATCGTCTCTCTCCAAATAGATAATGGTTTAAAATAATTGCACAAAGAAAACTGATCCCAGCCAGTGTGGATTCTGCTTTCAACTACTGCTTCTACTCAGAATAGTGGATGCTGACGAGCTCTCATAGGAAGCCAGCCAAAGAAATTCAGAATGGCCAGGAAGCCCATCGGAAACTGAGCTGAATACCCACTTTTGTGGAGGCAGCCCTTCACCCTCTGGGTATGGACTCTAAGATCTGGTGGTGTGTAGTTGTCACTGTTAGGAAGACATTTAGAATCCAGAACATGAGGACAAACTTACAAAGTGTTTAATATGCTACCTAATGTCACGTATAGCCTAGTACTTCACAAAATTCCACCCAACAGTCGTCTTAGAAACCTTTTCTGAAGTTTCCTTAACAGAGCCAAAGAGGCACACCCACCTGCAACTGGGGACATGATGTTCTCTGTGCCATGCCAAAATGACCAAAATAACACCCAGAAGATGGTCAGAGCGTGTCTCTTGTTAGCAAATGGATTTAGGAAACATCTAGAAAACATTGCTGAAAATACGAAGATGCTTGTTTGTTAAACAGTTGGATGAAAGCACAGATGTTTCTAAGCTGATTCAGCATAGGATATTTGCTAGATTTTTCTCCAACAGGAAACTGTCCACACAAGTACTTTTTCCTTGGTGAACCACCAAAGGGAAGATGTCCATGAAAAGATGCATTCACAAGCGTAATGGGCTTTTAGAAATAAGAGCAATGTTTTATCGGGGAGGGGGGACAAAGCTCCTTGGAAGCAATGACGGGTGCCATTTCTGATGGAGCCACTTTATAGCTTTGAGGCTAGATTGTGGAGATGGTGCCACTGCAGCTGCATTGCCCTCGGACAGCCACTGCAGGAGGGATGTCAAATCCGGTAAGACAGGACTGTTGACACGTAGTGTATTATTTATGTTATCTTGCTATGTGATAAAAAGAGACTGTGCCACCCAGCAGTTCTCTGTTCTCATGTGAAGAGCTTAAAAGACACAGTGGGCTTGAAGCTGTTTCTCATTTCCCTTTTATACGAAGGCTGTATGACCCTAATATCTTTCTTACCTTATCCTTTTTAATTCCTATTTTAATACATATTTTATCATTTTTATTATATATTAGTACAATGGTATATGCTTCTAATTCATAAGTAAATATGCATATTTTTGTAGCTTTCTGTATACAACATCTTTACTCACAAGGGCTTAAGGTCATACCATTTGGAGATCACCATGCCAGAGAGGGTAAAAGTGAAGAATTTAAATGGTCCTCAAGTGAAAGGAAAAGAGGGTTAATACGTTGGTTTTTCATTTTTTTAAAAGTTTATTTATTTTTTCCATGATCAAGAGAGACTGTGAGACTTCACCCCTACCAGGGTCCTGATGCTGTAAACCCTTCCTTTGCCCGAGCCAGCCCCGATCATGGGTACACATGTGCCCAGTACATTCACGGAGGTCTCTGGATGCAAACCCGGAAACTCTCGTGGGGCAGCCTCACAGAGCACCTCCCCAGTGTCCCACTGTTCGGCCCCTGATTTTCTTTTTCAAATGATGAATGTTTAAAAGTTAGTTTTTAGAAGGTGTTTTCAGGAAACTGAGCATGTTTTAAAGTCCATGATTTCGCACATTATTGCTACTCTCCTACGTAAATTGGCAGAGTCAAACATTCTTTTGGGAGAACCAGTTCTTTATTAAAAAAAAAAATTGCTATAGGGTACATGTGCTTACCAGAGAGAGAGAGAGACAGAGAGAAAGCTTGAAAGTGAGAAAGCATCTGCCCCTCCCCCCAAGGGGAGGCCACGCTGCAGTTTCTTCTATCTCTGGAGTTTGGGGCACACACACGTGACTGGCATATTTTTTTTTTCTTTGAGAGGTTTTTCACTATAGAGTGCGTGTGCTCGCCAGACAGAGAGAGACATAGAGACAGAAAGCGAGAAATCACCCCCCAGGGGATGGTCACGCCGTAATCCCTTCTCCTCCATTCTCCTCTCGGGATCTTGGGCACGCTCGCACACGCACCCGGCATGAGTTTTAACCCACCGGATCCGGGACGTGAACCGCGGTCGACTACATGGGAGTCCCGCGACATAGCCATTATTACGCTAACTGCTGGTTCCCATGACTGGCATATTTTTCAAGTCACCGGATCCAGGACTCAAACTACGTAGTTGGCCATGTAGGATCTGACTGCTGTAACCACCAGGTCACCAGTTTACCCAGGTAGAACTAGTTCTTTGCAGTCTGATCAAGTAAGATAAAGGGATCTCAGTTTTTAGAAGTTTCTTAATGGCTTTCTCCACGTTTACAGATACAAACTTTGGTCATTCAAGCTCTTCTTAAATAATTATAAAGCTCATTCTAAGCGAGAGAGGCATTTTTGCCTGAAGCTCTGAGGATGTGTCTTGGCTGGTCTGAGTGTCTTGCCCATCTGCCGCGTTTCTGCTCCTCGGCTTTGTCCAGTATCAAGGCTGCCAAGTGCTGCAAAGCTGAGTCTCACTTTGTCTTCTGGGAACATTCCCTGGGAACTTAGCTGAACTAGTTCTGACGGGAAGAGGCTTTTTTTCCTCTATTGAATTTATTATGTTTTTTTAATTCACAAAAGCTATACATATTTATTATATGTGGCCTGATGTTTTGAAATATTATCTACATTGTGGAAGGGCTAAATAATATGCTTAACTACACATGCTGAGAATATGTCACATTGTTATTAACCACAATCACCATCGTCATGCCACAGTCCTCTTGAACTTAGTTCTCCTCACTGAAATTTGGTCTTATTTGATGAGCATTGCCCCACCCCCACTGCCACCCTAGCTCAGCTTCTACTGAATCACCATTCTACTCCGCTCCTATGAGTTCAATTGTTTTAGATTCCACATATAGTTAAAATCATGCAGTCCTTCTCTGCCTGGCTTATATCACTTAGCATAATGTCTTCCAGATTTTCCTGTGTGTCACAATAGCAGGATTTTCTTCCTTTTTAAGGCTGACTAGTATTTCATGGTGTATATGCACTGTATTTTCTCTATCCATTCATCTGTTCTGGACACTTACGTTGATTCCATATCTTGGCTATTGTTAATAGTGCTGCAGTAAACATTGGGGTGCATTTATCTTTTTGAAAAATTTTGCTATAGGAACATGTCCTTATTGGAGAGAGACATTCAGAGAAATAGAGAAAAAGAGAGTGAGAAAGCACCCCACAGGGAGATAGCCATGCCATTTTCCTTTCAGTATTTTGGACATGCATGTACACATGCCCAGTGTGTTTTTCAAGCTGCCAGATCCAAAACTCAACCTTGCAGTTGGCTATGTGGGATCCAGCTGCCTTAACCACCCCACCACCTGACTGGCCTGGGGTACATGGATCCTTAGGACACGCTGATTGATTTTCCTTTGGATATATATCCAGTAGTGGGGTTGTTAGATCATATGTAGCTATAATTTTTTTCCTATTTTTGACAGAAGATATGTATACTAGCCAGAGAGAGAGAGAGGGAAAGCACCCCCCAGGGGGCATAGTCATGCCAAAATTCTTTCTCCTTTATTTCTCCCTCCTTTCAAGATTTTGGGCACACATGCACACATGCCAGGCGTGTTTTTTAAGCCACCGAATCTAGGACTTGAACCGTGTGGTCTGCCATGTAGGATGCAACTGCCTTAACCACCAGGCCATAGGCCAGTTCTGTTTTTAATTTAATTTTTAAAGGCTTCTCTGTAGAATTTTCCATAATGACTGTACTAATTTACCTTCCCACCAACAGTATACAGGGATTCCCTTTTCTCCACATCCTCACCAACATGTCTCTCTCATTTTTTTGATTAAAGAGATTACAGTAGGTGTGAGGTGATATCTCATTGTGGTTTTGCTTAGCATTTCTCTAATGATTAGTGATGCCGAGCACCTTTTACACACCTGATGGCCATCTATATACCTTCTTTTGAGAAATGCGTATTCAGTTCCTTTGCATATTACAGAATTCAGTTATCTGGGGGTTTTTGCTATTAATTTATTTGTGTTCCTTATATATTTAGGATATTTATTTTTTATCAGATGTATTATTTGCATATACTTGCTCCTGTTCTATTGGTTGACTTTGCATTTGGTTTTTTGTTTGTTTGTTTGTTTGTTTTTGCTATGCAAAAGCTTTTTAGTTTGATATAATTCAAACTATTTTTGTTTTTGTTGTCTGTGCTTTGGGGTCATATCCAAAAAGTAATTGCCCAGACCAGTGTCATAGAGCATCTCTCTTGTTTTCTTCTCATAGTTTTACTATTTCTGATATTAAATTTACATTTTTAATACATTTTGAGCTGAGTATTACATATAGGGTGAGATAACAGTCTAATTTCATTCTCCTGGTCTGAGAGGTTAAACCATAGGCAGGTGACTGTTTTTAAGGAGAGTGAATTAATTCACAGCCACAGCTGGTTCGCTCAATAATTTCCATACAAGGCTATTTTAGTTGCATTGTATGCAGTGTCCCAGTTATTAATCTTATTAACCAGGTACTAACAACTTGCCTGTTATTTGAAATCCAATCTAGTGAACTTAAAAGGCAAAATATCATGCCTTCATTATTTGCCTTTTTTCCTCTTTCTCTTGATGTCTTCCTTTTAAATCCAAGAAGTATGCATTTTAAGTTGAAGAGCCTATAAGGGCATTCAGTAACTATTAGTTGATTGATAAATTAATGAATTTATGAATTCATCATTTAATTTCACCTGTCTCTAAACAAGAGTGCACCTCCGTCATTCGTGCGTTGTCTCTCTTCTTTTTTAAGCTGTATTAGGAATTGCTGTGACTTCCATTTGAATGATGAGGGGTGTGTGTGTGCATTTGAAATATACCAACAAACAAGTTCTATATCATATTTACTGGTTCAATGAAAGAAGTTATTCATTCCAACTCACTTATTTGGTTTCTGCTTTCACATCTTAGAGTCATCTTCATTGCACAAATGAAAGAACTGGGGCCCATCAAGGGGCAGTGACCTGCCCAGGGTCACCTGGTAGAGTCAGTAACAGAAGTAGGTCACCTGACTGGGCCTGGGGCTGTCACCACACTGTATCCTGCTTGCAGGCCATCCTGGGATGAGACTTTGTGTTGCAGTTTACAAGCTTGTCAACCTTTTGGCACTTTCTGAGCCAAGCGCTAGTTTAAAAATTACTGACTGCTTAATGGACAATTCTATTTTTTGAAAGTTAAGCCCTGCTTTTTCTTTTCTCCTGTGGTAGAAATCTGACCTCCAGGACAGCATGTGCTACAAAACCCAGCTCTATCAGATAGAAAAGTGCAGGGCCACCAAGGAGCCCTACGAGGTGAGTGACTTCTGATGCAAAACCCAGTGTCTCTGAGAGTAAAATGAGTGAGCTCCTCTGGGGAGGATAGTGGAAGGAGACTAGTTACTGTGGACTCTGGAAGCAGCTGGAAACAAAGCTCTTGTAACTGAGCCCTTAAGAAATGGTTTGCTGCAGAGCCACCCCTACTCAGTCTCTGAACCCAGCTGGCACTCAACTATGACTACACAGTAGAGTCACCAGGAGCCTGTAAACTGCTGAACACCCAGGCCACTCCTCAGACCAATGATGCCCAATTTGGAGGGTCAGTATTTCTTTAAATTACTATTATTATTTTTTATTTGTTTGCTATAGGCTATGTAAGTTCACTGGAGGGAGATAGAGAGGGAAAGTGAGAAATCACCCACCTAGGAGGGATGGCCACAATCTCTTCTCCTCTTTTCTCCTCCTGGGATCTGGGTCTCACACACACACACACACACACACATTGTGTTTTTCAAGCCACTAGGTCTGGGACTTGAACCTTGGAATTGGCCATGTGGGATCCAGTGCCTCAGTCACTATGCCACCTACTGGCTCCAGGTGTCAGTATTTTTTAAAGCTCTGTAGATGATGCCAGCGAGCGGCCACAGCTGGAAACTGCCATTGGATTTCCAAAAGTAAAAGCAAGATGATTGACAGCGTAGAGGACTGTGATGCTCGGCATCAGGAGAAAGTGAGATGGGGACGGGAGGATTCAGAGGAGGGTGAGCTTCCCTAGTCAGCTCTCCCGGTGATTTGATGTTACCTGGAACATATTTAGATAAAAATAACCAAGGTTCATGGATTTCAGAACAAGACTAGTGTCCTTGGCAGACCCCAAATTCACCTTTGTGAGGAGATCATGCCTGTGATCCCAGACCCAGGCCAGGAGCAGGGGACTGAGGCACGGCCCCAGGTCTTCATGGTCACCTTTTGTCAAGTGGGCTCCTCTTTATCAGTGATCTTCCTGGAATCTGCTTCTGTGTCTCCTCTGGAGCCTCATCTGTGCCCCCCAAGTTCCCCTGCCACGGGAACCCCCCCGGGACACCCTGGAATTCCTTTTATTTGAGGAGAGGTCTAGAAGGGACTTCTTGCATTCCCCATTGGCCACACCCTTCCCCCTTTCCTTTTCTTTTTTTTTTTTGGAGAGGTTTTTGCTATAGGGCGCGTGCGCTCGCCAGACAGAGAGAGAGACAGAGAGACAGAAAGCGAGAAATCACCCCCCGGGGGGATGGCCACGCTGCAATCCCTTCTCCTCCATTCTCCTCTCAGGATCTTGGGCATGCACGCACACGCGCCCAGCGTGAGTTTAAGCCACCGGGTCCAGGATGCGAACCGCGGTCGACTACGTGGGAGTCCAGGGACATAGCCATTACGCTAACTGCTGGTTCCCCCCCCCCTTCCTTTTCTGATGTTTTGTCTCTGTCATGATCCTACAGGCTGTGCTCATTACTGTGGAAGGTACCTTCTCCAGGTTATCTTGAACACGGGGCCGCAGTGAAGCATGGGTAGTGACAGCACCATGCCTGGCTCCAGGTAGCTGCAGAAACACATGTGACACACCTCAGCCCTGGCCAGGGATGTCGACGACCACAGTGCTGAGCTGCGAGGCCATGTATGGGCATAATGGCAGCACAGGACAGGGACAGCCCTGAGCCTGCAGCAAAGCCAGGGAAGAAAGGCCCAGCTCTCTACTCTAGACAGAGCTGTGGGCCCCAAGTAGGCAGAGGAAGAGGAGGGACCAGGGAGAGGGTGATGCTCGATGTGGGAAGACCACAGGAGTGAGGACAGTGTCGCTGAGCAGTTCATTGCCCTGAGGACCTTAGGGAGAACAGCTTTGTGGAGGAGAAGAAGGCAGAAGATAGCTGGCATGACATGGAGGAGGTGGAAAGAGAGGAGGTAAAGCCAGATGCATGGACCTCTCTCTCTCTCTCTCTCTTTTTTTCCTAAAAGACTTATTTATTTAATTTTATTTATTCATTCATTTATTTTAATTTGACCAGAGAGAGAGACACAGAAAGAGAGAAAGGGAGAAAGCAAGCCACCAGGTCCAGGACTCGAACCATGGTTGGTCATGTAGGAGTGTCTAGTGCCTTAACCACCAGGCAACCTGCTGGCCCCCCCATGGACCTCTCTTCAGTGATGCTGCAGTGAAAGGAGAATGTGGCTTTGACTGAAAGATAGATGTGGGTCAAGGGTGGGATTCAGAGTAGCCCGGGTGCTCAGCCCTGGCCCCTTGCAGGATGTCTCCTTCCTCAGACAGGTGGTGGGGAGGATGCACTGTGATGATGAGGATGGGCATAATCTTTGGGGTGGGGTGAGGGTGTCACAGGCAGGAGCTGAGTCCTAAGCCCTTGCCTGGATTTGAGGCTGAAAGCAGGGGAGCAGGGTGGTATAGGGGATCTAGATGGCCCCTGAGCTCCAGACTCTTCTGGACAACTACCTACTAAATGCTCACTTCCTCTTGAGGAGTGAAGGTGTCCCAAACCTAACACATCCAGAACCAAATCCCTCTTCCCTACCCTCAACGACAGCCAGTTCCAGCCATTTCTTCCTCGGTACAGGGAAGAACCTAGGAGTTCTTTAGGAATCTTTTCTGTCACCACTAAAGCCAGCCTATCATCCACAAAGCCAATCTGTCACCAGGTTCTGCTGACTTGACTTCTTGACTCCCCTATCCCCTTCCCCCAACCACATCCCACCACATCCCTGCTCCTGGATCTCTGCCATGTCCCGTAAACCCCTATTCCCCCAGTGGCTGCCAGTCACTCTCTTCTCTGCATAGCAGCCAGAGCAAGCTTTTCACACTTAAATCGGATCATGTCACTTCCTTGCTTCAAACCTCTTGAAGGCTTGCTCTACCTGGAGGCACCCTCTGTGACGTGGCCACCCTGAGCGGTCCCATTTCCACTTGCTTCTCTGCCTCCTCTCCAACCTCACGGCCCACACAGCCTCGCTTCTTGCTCTGTGCTCATTCCAACAGGCCTTCCGGTCTGCTGTGCCCTGTGCCTCCATGGGCCGTGCACATGCTGTTCCCTCTTCCAGAATGTTCTCCTGCCTCTCTGCAAGTGAATGTGCGTTTTCAGATCCCAGCTCCCACGGAGCCCCGCCACACCCTGCCCTCTGCCAATGGGTCGCGTCCCTCCAGTATAGGCTGTCACACATTCTGTCAACTGGGCTTGTCCCACTTGCAGCTTTCCTTTTGTTGGGGTTATCTAATAATGTCTCTCATTCGTACTCTGAACTGAGAGCTCCAGGGAGCAGGGACTGGGTCCCTTTAGCTCCTCACAGTATTCCAGGAGTGTGCACAATGCCTGGCACACAGGTGGTGCTCAGTAAATATTTGTTAAATGAACAGATGCAAGAATTGAGAGGACCTTGGCCCGTCTTAGAAAAGGAATAGATCGGGGACAAGGACCTGGAAAAGGTAGGCTGCTCCAGGTGGGATGCCCAGCCAGATTAAAGAGGCACACCTATGGTGTACACACAGATGGCATGTCCAGCCCCAGGGGGCCATGCCCTAAGGCAGGGATGGGCCTCTACCTGCACTGAGGATGGTCATCCTGCCTAGAGTGCAAGGGGTACAGAATTCACTTAGTTTCGGGAACCAGCAGTTAGCGTAATGGCTATGTCGCTGGACTCCCACATAGTCGACCGCGGTTCACGTCCCGAACCCGGTGGCTTAAAACTCACGCCGGGTGCGTGTGCGTGTGTGCCCAAGATCCCGAGGAGAATGGAGGAGAAGGGATTGCGGTGTGACCATCCCCCCTGGGGGGTGATTTCTCGCTTTCTGTCTCTAATGTCTCTCTCTGTCTGTCGAGCGCACGCACTATAGTGAAAATCTCTCCAAAAAAAAAAAAAAAGAATTCACTTAGTTTCTCTGCTTCTTGGTTTGCATTTGGCTCATTAGGACTTTGACTAATAATGCAAACTTGGGTGCACAAGTGCCCACACGTGTCCTAAGTGACCCCGTAAGGTACTTCCCTGATGTCCTTGTCCACACTGCCCTCACCTCAACCTGCTCTGGTTGTGACTGAAAGTTCCAGAACAGCAATGGGAAAGAGGCCCTTTCATCCAGATGATTTTCTCTGGAGATTATTTCATTTGGCCTGAAAACACATGTGAGCATTTGAAAAATTTGTTGAAATATTTAATGGTTAGGATTAAAATAGGAACACTAATGGGCAAGCAGCATTTCAATTTCCTATGATCCATTCGTTCTCCCCAAACTGCAGCGAGACTTCTGCTAATTCAATTATAGGCAATTACTAGATTACCTAGCTTGTCTCTGCTGGAACCTAGAAAGTGAAGTGGGCCACTTAAAAAGTGTTAGGAAGGTCTGAAAGGGCCTAGTCTTCCCAGGTAACGCCTATTCAGAGCTTCTGGCTTTCAATCTAGGGGCCATTGGCTGGCTCCAGGGGAGAAGTGGCCACACTGCAAGGGCGGGGGAAGGAGGGGGGAGAGAGAGGTGGATAGCAGTTTCAGGCTGTGTGCAAGCCGGCTGGACTGGGGCTCGGGGCACATGTCCCCCAGGACGCCATAGAGCTGTGTCCCAAGCACTGAGTTCAAGCAATAGCCTCTTTGTTCCTCTTGATGCAGGTTCTTTTTCTCATCGGAGACAAAGGAGCTAAATTAAGCTGAAAAACTTCCCTCTTGGGGTTATAGTGCTGTGATTTTATAACTTACCATTTTCTCTATCTCTTCCTCCTGTAAAGGGCAGAGAATTTATCTGTAAAAGTGGTATTGTGTATTTTTTTCTGAGAACACTGTGAAAGGATCTATGGGGACCCTGGGAGTCAAGGTGGGAGGTCCTCATTTTTAAACTGGCTTCTTAAGGCCATAGAGAGCCTGACACAATTTTTGTTAAAGTTTTTTTTTTTTTTTTTTTTAATAATGTTCATTTGTAGAGAAATATAAAACAGAACTAGGAAGTCTTCTCTGCAACGGCAAAGTAGTATTGGAGTTTTGGGAGAAAAGATGTGTGGAGGGTGGCAGGGCTAGTGGATTAGCCTGTTAAAGCTGCTATAACAAGTACCACAAATTGTGCAGAAATGTGTGCTCTCGGTTCTGGAGGCTGGAAGTCCGAGGGGATAGTGTCAGCAGGGTTGGCTCCTCCTGGCGGCTGTGAGGGAGAAGCTGTTTGAGGCCTCCCTCCTAGATTCTGTGCTTGCTGTTGGTCTTTGGTGGTCTTTGGCTTATGGATGCCTCATCACTCTGCCGCTGTTATCCGATGACTTTCTTGTGTGCATGCCAGTGTCCATATTCCTTTCGATGAGGACACCGTGTATTGCCTTGGGGCCCACTTTAACGACGATTACCTTCGTAAAGACCCTCTCTCCAAACAAGGTCACTCATATTTGGAGCTTGTGGAGTTTAGGACTTCAACATAGGAATTTTGAGAGAATGCAGTTCAACCCACAGCAGGGACTGTTAGTTTAAAGGTAAAACGTTTCAAAATCTATACATGACTTTTAAAAATAAAGTTCAGAATCATATTGAACCATCTGTGCTGTTACAGATCACGATGGTCATTTCTCTGGAGGATGAACTGACAAGGAGAGGACTTGGGTGGGGGCCCCTCCAGGTGCCAGCTGGGTTCTGTTTCTTGTTCCGGGTGCTGTTTCCTAAAAACACCTGGGTGATGTTTCTGCATCAAGGTGCTTACTCCTCATTAGAGCACTCCGCTCTGTTCAGTGCCTTAGATTTTAATAAGTTTACCTAGAAACTCTATTTAGCACACAAATCAGGACATCTGCTGCCTGCTTCCACTGCGATTTAGGAATTGGGTTTCTCGTCTGCAAGCACTGAAATGAATCATTCTTCACCAGTTCTGGATCTAGGGGAAAAATATCAGGTGCGACTGTAAATTATTGAAAAATGTTGCTTTTCACAGGCCTCCTTGGACACCTGGACGAGAGACCTCGAATTCCATGCTGTGCAGGTAAGATCCTCGGGGGTTGTGCTCTGTTAGTCAGTGTTCTCCAGAGAAACAGAACAAATAGGGTATATTTATATTACACATGCGCACACACACACACACACACACACACACACACACACACACATAGAATATTGAGGCTGAGATAAGGAATTGACTGGCATAATTGTGAGGGCTGGCAAATTACACCTGCAGAATGGCAGGCTGGAGACCCAGGGAAGGGTTGATGTTGCAGTCTTGAGCCCAAAGGCCACCTAGAGACGGCATTTCTTTTGTCCAGAAGACCTCATTCTTTTTTTCTTAAGGCCTTCAACGGATTGGATAAAAACCAACCATGTTACAGAGGATAATCTACTTTATTTCAGGTTTACTGATTTAAATGTTAGCAACATCTAAAAAAATACCCTCATAGCAACACCTAGAATGGTATATGACCAAACAACGGGGTATGTTGCTCTAGCCAAGTTGACACATGAACTTAACCATCAGTAGATCCTAAGAGTTGGTCGGTTTCTGCCCAGGTACCAGACTTTGCACACCCTATCCTTATCCTGAATTAAAATGTGCAGAATCGTGTTCAGAGTGGGTTTATCAGAATCCCCTCAGATCAGATTGGTGCTCCCTATGTTGAGGTGACTTGTTTTTTATTGTCTTGCTATGATTACACACCTAGTTATGCATTCTTATTTCTACCTATGGGAGAAATTGGGTTTCTAGAAATAGTCTAAAGTTTCCTGGCCCAGTGGCCTAATTTATGAACTAGTTCCTTTTGTTATTAATTCACCTGTGTTTTTTCCTATGGTAAAATCAGGTTTTTCCTTATGTGATGGGTAGTAAGGGATCCAAACCAACTGGCCAATAACGGGGGCCCTGGGCTCTCGCAGGTGGTAGCAACCAGCACCTGGTCCTGGTGCAGCAAACTACTGGGGAAAGCTCGCCTGTCGTCAGGGGGACATTAGGCTCCAGGAAAGCCCACAACGAGCTGGACGTGATAGAACTGCTTAAACAAAACAGCCTTCAGACCTCCTCTGCTGCGGGAATTGCCCTCACAGTCTGCTCTCCGGTGCATGCCCAGAGAGGCAGACGTCATGGGCAGCAGCCTTCCCGCTAGCCCAGCAGCATCTGTCCTTGTTAAATCCAGACATTTGCTGCTCAGATGATGAAGTAGGTGTGAACTGGGAGGACCCACACTTTTAGTTACAGATGGGAAACACTTCCCTAGAGGAGCAGTGACTTGTTCAAGGTCACCTCGTAAATTATGGGGAGAGCCAGGAGTGGGTTCTGGATTTCCAAACTGCCAAGCTACAACCATGGCTGGGGTTGTTCTGGGAACTCCAGGAGCCTGGAGTCATTGTTTGGTGTCCACCACACCCCACGGGCACAGCCAGCAGGGAGAAGTCAAAAGGGGACCTGCTCTCTGGAGCTCAAACCTCAGTTTGAGGGCAGAGATTCACCCTCGTGCCAGCTGCTCGTGGATTTTCCCCGTGACTTCCTTTTCTCTGCCCAGTGATATATGACATTTAGAGTCTTGGGTAGAAATCCTTTATGGAGCCACATTTTCAACGTGTCCAGTTTTGTCACTGCATACACACATCTGCAGTGGGTAGAAGTTGTTGGTGGAAGCTGTTGTGTGTGAGCAGCTTCCGTCGGGACTTCATGTGATCCCCTCTCTGATCTGCCTCAGTGCAGGACTGTGCCATGATGGTGCAAAGAGGACACGCTCAGAACTGAGACGACCCCACTGCTCACCTCAGGCCCACACGGTGCCCTGAACAAGCAGAGGGAAGCCAGGAGTCTGTAGACAGCAGCATGGGCGGGTGGAGAGCAGGCCCTTGGAACTGGGGATGTAATTAGTCCCTCTGAAGATCTTTTACTGTTACATAAGGCAATTTAACATCCTGCTCCCTAGGAAATTTCTTTCAGAGAAAATAGGCCATGCAAATAAAAAGATATAATTGGGTGATCGCTTGTCCTGGGTAACATGTTCTTGGAGGGTGGGGAGATTGGCTAGTTGTAAACAAACATGTTTTCCTGGGGCTGCTGGCCCTTCTGCATGGGCCAACTGAGGTTTATACCCTTCGGGAAACAGGCGTGAATTCTTGACATTTCTCTAGAAACGAGTTTCTGTAAAATCCCCACTTCTTTCAGGCTGAAGAAAGATGTTCCAGGGGCTTTGGAAGGACATGCCAGGGTTCAGGACCTGGCATTAGGTTAAACAGAGTGGCTTTAGCAGAGTTTCCAACTTTCCATCTGCAGTGCATTTTCTCTTACTTCTGCCCCCATAGTGGGTTTTCTGCTAATTACCAAATATCCCTTTGTGGGTCCTAGGAGAACTCTGGTCATGTCGGCCACACTTGGTCTCTGTCCGCAGGGAACTCTCATGCCTTGCACACATCTTGGCATTGATTAACTCTATTTGGGAGGTGATACTGGCCCTGAAAAGTTTTGTGTCTTGATTCATAGACTTCTGAGAACCCACAGAGGGATGCAAAGGAGCTGAAATGAACCCCCTGAGCCACCGCAGCTCTCTAGGCTTGGGAATTAGAGCAGCTTTAAGAGAGGTTTGCTGATGACTTTAACAAAACAATCCCCAAAAAGGGTGAACTGCAACTTTATCTTTTCTATTAAATAGTGTTTTAACATGTACGCAAGTGCGTTTGGTTTTCTTTTTTTCCTTTTTAAGGTGTTAGCAGGTAGATCTGGTGACTTTTGCAGAAAAAAACAGAGAACCAAGCTAAAAGAACTCTGTAAGACATTTCAAGCTGGAGGGTCATGTCCCCTTCGATGCTGGATGGTTCTGTTTATGTGCAAACATCTTTCTCTTTTGCCTTAGAGAAGGTGGCCTGTCAGTGTTGAGTGGAAGTAAAGGAGAGGGGGCAGTGGGAAATTGCAATCGACCTTTATAGGCCTTAACTAAGGTGCGTGCGGCATGCCAGTCCCCTCCGTGCATTCTGTAACAACTGGAAGCACCCTGTCCTCCTAGCGCTGGGATAATGTTGCAGGAGTCTGGGGACCACAGCACACTCCCTGCCTCTGCACTGCCATTTTGTCTAAACTTCCACTCTTCCACCAGAATCACCTGTCTCTGCCCTGGGCTTTGAGAGGGCAGTGGCAAGTCAAGGGTTAACAATACCAACTTCCAGGCAGTGAAAATCTAAGTGTCCATCTGCTCAGGGGTGAATGATTTTACCCCTCCAGGCCATCTCCTCCTTGTTTGCAAGGGGTGTGTCTGCAGTGAGGGCCAGTGACTGCTGTTAAAAGAGAATGCTGAGGAAGGAGTTTGCAGAAACTTCGCCTCTCTTCTCCCCCTCGCCCCTGCTCTGAGGACAAGCACTTTGGCTAAATGTTAGAGCCCAGGGAGCTGCTGCCTCTTGAAGTGGCTCTCAAGGCTTGCCTCAGCACCCCCACTTTCCATTTCTTCCCTGCTGTTCTTTCCCACTCAAAAAAAAAAAGACATAATGAACCCCAGTCTGCAAAGGCTTTGAACCGCCTTGTTAGAAAGGGCTGAAAAAGTGCAAAGAGATGTTTCCTTGAGAAGCTTTTCAACAACATAAATGAAAAATAGATGAGCTCTCTTGAATTGCAAATTCTCTTAAAGTTGAAGGCAGAGATGTAAAAATTTCTTTTTCCCTCACCCTTGTTAAGGTCAGGGATATGGTTGCCTCTTTCTAACAGTAAACACCAAGCACAATCCTTGGGGCCAGAGAAGAATTTCTGCAGCTTTTTCTTAGAGGCATCACCCTTCCTAGAAGCTTGAATTCAATTAGTTTTAATTCAGTTGTTTCCGCTGGGTTTTTCCCTCCCTCATTTCAACAGCTATTTCTTAAGCTTTCTCTAAGTGCCTGACTTTATGCCAGAGGCTCTGAGATTGAAAGCACATAAATAGTGAAATTCACTCCCATCAGAGGGATTATAATCTAGTTCAATAAAAGCAAGATTTATAGAAAAATGGACTATATATGAGGCATCTTCAAAAATTCATAAAAATGGGAAAAAACATGTGTGGTTTTAATTTTGCTTTGCACTAAATTAATACTTTAATTCCATTTTTTTCATGAACTTTTTGAAGTCTCATATATGCAAGTTTCACATCAACAGGTGTCACGTGACTGGAGGGTGGGGGGGGGGGAACAAATCCAGGACAGCTCAGGGCTCCATGCTGTGTTAGATACCTCCTTGGCCTAACAAACAGGACAGGATCTGAGATTAAGGTGGAAGCAGTTACAGTTCACTCTTACTGCTTTTGCAAAGCCAGTACTGGGGGTAGAATCTTAAGGCTCCACTTTAAATGCACACAGTAGGTTTCCAGAGGTTCTGCTCTGCTTCACCTTAGTTAGTTCAGCTTGTTCCAAAGCAATGGACCTCCTAGAGGTGGCCTTGCCCTTACTGGCACACCTGAAGTGAGCTGTACAAGGGAGCTAGGGACGATCAAAGCCTACATTGTTGCCCGAGAAAAGGAGACAGGCTGTCTGAAGCACTGGCCAGGCCCCAGCTCTTCTTCCCTCTCTGACATGCAATGGTGAGGCCCGGATGGGAAAATGCAGGGCACTCAAGGCTGACTCGCATGGGAAGTGTCCAGATTCATGTCTAGGTCTCCCTGAGTGTGCCAGGCATGCACTTGCCCACGATCTGGGGCCGGGTGAAGTAGGGGTGGATTATAGTGTCAAGAGTCTGTTGGGTGTCTCTCTCTCTTTCTGACTCTCTCTTGTTCATTAAGTAAATAAATAAACTTAAAATGAATACACGCGTACAACAAGAGAGCATAGAATGTTGAAAAGCTGGCATTTTTTAAATCTACTTGCATAATGATATGCTCTTGTGTTTCTGAATATATATGTTTGCTTCTGATTGAAAGGATAGGGGGCACCAAATCCAGGACAGCTCAGGGCTCCATGCTGTGTTAGATACCTCCTTGGCCTGAATGAACAAACAGGATCTGAGATTAAGGTGGAAGCAGTTACAGTTCACTCTTACTGCTTTTGCAAAGCCAGTACTGGGGGTAGAATCTTAAGGCTCCACTTTAAATGCACACAGTAGGTTTCCAGAGGTTCTGCTCTGCTTCACCTTAGTTAGTTCAGCTTGTTCCAAAGCAATGGACCTCCTAGAGGTGGCCTTGCCCTTACTGGCACACCTGAAGTGAGCTGTACAAGGGAGCTAGGGACGATCAAAGCCTACATTGTTGCCCGAGAAAAGGAGACAGGCTGTCTGAAGCACTGGCCAGGCCCCAGCTCTTCTTCCCTCTCTGACATGCAGTGGTGAGGCCCGGATGGGAAAATGCAGGGCACTCAAGGCTGACTCGCATGGGAAGTGTCCAGATTCATGTCTAGGTCTCCCTGAGTGTGCCAGGCATGCACTTGCCCACGATCTGGGGCCGGGTGAAGTAGGGGTGGATTATAGTGTCAAGAGTCTGTTGGGTGTCTCTCTCTCTTTCTGACTCTCTCTTGTTCATTAAGTAAATAAATAAACTTAAAATGAATACACGCGTACAACAAGAGAGCATAGAATGTTGAAAAGCTGGCATTTTTTAAATCTACTTGCATAATGATATGCTCTTGTGTTTCTGAATATATATGTTTGCTTCTGATTGAAAGGATAAAAAGCCCAAAGAACAAGAAAAAAGAGGAGATTTTCTCCATCGGCCATTTTCCAAGAAGCTAGACAAGAACCTGCCCTCACACAAACAGCCCTCGGCCTCACTCATCACGCAGATCCAGAACACCAAGGCGTTGCTGAAGGACCGGAAGGCCTCCAAGTCTGGCTTCTCTGACAAAGGTGGGTCAGCTCTGAGACGCTCAGGTCTCCTGTGCAGAGCTGTGTCTGCTATGTAGTCCTCACAGAGGATTCCTGTGCTGTGGGAAAGCAGAGGTGACACGCCTGGGCAACCTGAGAACAAGCAAGGGCTCAGCTGCATGGTAGTAGCCACCTGTGTAAGAAGGATCTGAGAAACCAGGGATAGGTGCGCAGTATTACAGAAGCAGTTTGGGCTGCATAATGTAGGCATGGAGGGGCAGGGTATAGAATATTGTGAGAGCAGACATTGGGGTTTGACATTACAGGAGCAGAGATCAGGGTGCACAGTACTGCGGGGGCAGAGATCGGGATGCCCGGTACCGTGGGGACAGAGATCGGGATGCCTGGTACTGCGGAGGCAGAGATCGGGATGCCTGGTACCGCGGGGGGCAGAGATCGGGATGCATGGTACTGCGGGGGGCAGAGATCGGGATGCCTGGTACTGCGGCGGCAGAGATCGGGATGCATGGTACCGCGGGGGGCAGAGATCGGGATGCCTGGTACCGTGGGGGTAGAGATCGGGATGCATGGTACTGTGGGGGGGCAGAGATCGGGATGCCTGGTACCGTGGGGGCAGAGATTGGGATAGGTCGGGGCGCGGGGTACGGGGGGGGCAGAGATCGGGATGCCTGGTACTGCGGGGGCAGAGATCGGGATGCCTGGTACCGCGGGGGTAGAGATTGGGATGCATGGTACCGCGGGGGGCAGAGATCGGGATGCCTGGTACCATGGGGGTAGAGATTGGGATGCATGGTACCGTGGGGGGGCAGAGATTGGAATGTCTGGTACCGTGGGGGCAGAGTTGGGATTTGTGGTACCATGGGGGCAGAGATAGAGGTGCATGGAACCTCAGGGGCAGAGATGAGATGGGATTTGTGGTACCATGGGGGCAGAGATCAGGGTGCATAGAACCTCAGGGGCAGCAATAGGGGTGCATGGTACCACAGGGGCAGAGATAGGGGTGCATGGTACCGCAGGGGCAGAGATGGGATTTGTGGTACCATGGGGGCAGAGATCAGGGTGCATAGAACCTCAGGGGCAGCAATAGGGGTGCATGGTACCACAGGGGCAGAGATAGGGGTGCATGGTACCGCAGGGGCAGAGATGGGATTTGTGGTACCATGGGGGCAGAGATCAGGGTGCATAGAACCTCAGGGGCAGCAATAGGGGTGCATGGTACCACAGGGGCAGAGATAGGGGTGCATGGTACCGCAGGGGCAGAGATGAGATGTGTGGTACCATGGGGGCAGAGATCAGGTACATGCGTCTATAGGAGAAGAGATTATGGTGCGTGGTACCAAGGACCATGATTGGAGAACGTGATATTGTGGGAACAGAGCCAGGACAGTAAAGTATTGTGGGAGTAGAGGTGGGGTGTAGGAGTAGAGATTGAGGTACAGAAACAGATTGAGATCCTTATATGGCAAAAGGAGATTCTGGAGTCAGGAACATGTGCATATGTTGCAGGAACAGAGACTGGCATGCAGACTCAAAGATGGGGGCATGGTAATTTCCAAGAAGGGTGACCCTGAGGGGCTTTGAAGTGTAATTGAGTCTGGCTCTGGGGTTGGGGGGGATGATGCTCAGACCTGAATTCAAATCCTAGCCCTACTGCTGGCTGGAGGCCCAAGGTCCTTAACCTCTGAGCACCTCCATTGGTTCCCTTCCTGGGTCCTTAACCTCTGAGCACCTCCATTGGTTCCCTTCCTGGTAACAGCTCCTCCCTATCAGAGATATCGGGTACATGAAATGAGCTACAGATGTAGGCTCCTCCACCCGCTTCAGGTCCAGCACATCATAGATAATGGATAAATGCAAGTGTCCCTCTAGGGGACAAGTGTTGAAGAAGGCAAGCCAAGGAGTACTCACCAGGCCCAGCCTTGGCACACACAGGAGAAGTGCTGAAAGAAGGCACATGGGAGCTGAGGGTGCTGTGAAGTGGAACCGTGAGGTAGGAGAGGTTTGAATTGATGAGGGGGATAGGAGATGACAGGGAGGCTTACCGCGGTACCAGGCAATTAGTTGCTGAGCAGGACTCGAACCCAATTCCTATTCTTCTACCTCACATGCTCCTCCCAGCTGGAGGCCACTGTGCCCACATTGCCCAAAGCAGCCTGCCCCCCTCGGTGTGGAGGTGATGCTCATGTGCCAGCTGGAAGACTGGAGGCCTAGAGACATTAGCCATTAATGAAACTTCTTTCTGCTGGTGACTCTCAGGCATTGCTGCTGGCCTGTACAAGAGATTTATCTCAGCATCTGGGTATTTATTTATGTAATGCAAGGCGGATTCCCAGAGCCCTCGGCTGCTCCCGAAATCACTCCCAGTGGGCATCAGCTTGCGCCTGCAGCTGGGCCTCAGTGAGGCCTATAAAATGTTATGGTAGAAAAAAGAAGCTAAGATAGAGCTTGTTCCACATGAACTTGGCTTTATTTCCCTCTGTTCTAAATCTGTAGGGGTTTTCCCTTTCTTTTTTTGGCACAGTTTGCAAACCTGGTTTCTAGTCCCTGCCAACTTGAGCTAGAAACCATAGGGCTGGCTGGTTGCCTTAACTATATAAATGAAGATCATTCCACTCCTGTTCAGAATTAGATGAGGCTCTGTTGTGCTGATCCTGAAGTACAACAGTTAAGTGCTATGCAGAGGGAGCTGGATCCCACATGGCCAGCTGCAGCTCAAATCCTGGTCCCAGCGGCTTAAAAAACATGCCAGGCACATGCATGCATGCCCAGGATTCTGACAGGATGGAGAAACAGAGGAAAAAGGGATTGCAGTATGACCAGACCCCACTGGGGGGTTCTTTTTCTCCTGCACGCACATGTGCGCATGTGCACACAAGCACACCCCCTGGCAAAAAAGACGGGAAAAATAATTTAAATGAGTGAAAAAATCATGAGGCTTAAAAAGAAAGGAAATTCTAACATTTCCACAACATGTTTGAACCTGGAGGTCATTATGCCAAGTGAAATAAGCCAGGCACAGGACAGATACTGTATTTCTAGATATGAGGTATCTAGAGGAGTCAAATTTAGAGGCAGAAAGTAGAATGGTGGTTCCTCAGGTTGTGGGGAGTTATTGTTAAATGGGAGTAGAGTATTAGCTTTGTAAGATACGAGAAGAATTGTGGAGATCTTAACTCTACTTAGCTGTACACTTAAAAACAGTGAAAGTGGGATATTTACCATTTGTCTTTACCACAATGAATGAATAAGTCATGAGAGAAACCCTACTGTTAGTGTTGGCCATCCGAGGGCCAGATGCACAGTGCAGTAGGTTGGGCTCCATGCACTTCTGGGAGTCCTATGGATGGTCTGTCAAGTACATGTACCTTTCTTATTTGAAGACACTTTGGCAGGGTCCAGAATTGTAAGCAATCAAAGTGGGAGCAGTTGTTAAGGTAGGGCCGCGAGGCTAATTGGAGTCCTGGAGATCTGCTGTCACCAGCCTTCTGTCCCTTCAGCCTAGAAAGACTGCCTGGGCCTCCTTGGAGAAGAGTTATCTACTGCTGCTTCCTCTCCCAGAGTGGTCAAAGCAGTTTGCTTCTTGGTACCTTCTGAACTCTGGTGGAAGGCTGTGTCAGTCAGGCTGGGGCAGAGCGGGAAGGGAAGCGCCGTGTGTACTGCTCATGGGGCTATCTTCATGATCTTGTCCATTTTCTTGTACAGATGCCTTTGGCTGCCGCAATATTTTCCGCAAAACCTCAGATTCCAATTGTGTGGCTTCTTCTTCCATGGAGTTCATCCCCGTTCCACCCCCTCGGACCCCCAGGACTGTAAAGAAATTGGAGCCCCATCAGCTAGGGCCTGGAGGCACTGGAATCGCCCCCAAGGAAGACCCCCTGATGCTGGATATGGTACGCTCCTTTGAGTCTGTTGATCGCGATGACCACACAGAACTGCTGTCCCCCTCTCATCACTACAGGATTCTGAACTCACCAGTGAGCTTGACTCGCCGGAATTCCAGCGAGAGGACACTCTCCCCGGGTCTACTGCATGGATGTTCATCACCTCTCCAAACGCCTTTGCATTCCACTCTGGTTTCCTTTACTCATGAAGATAAGAACAGTCCCCCCAAAGAGGAGGGCTTGTGTTCCCCACTGCCAGTTCCCAGCAATGGCCCCTCTCAGCCTCTGGGGAGCCCGAATTGTGTGAAAAGCCGAGGCCGGTTCCCCATGATGGGCATTGGACAGATGTTGCGGAAGCGGCATCAGAGCCTACAGCCCTCTGTAGACAGGCCCCTGGAGGCCAGCCTGCCTCCACTACAGCCCCTAGCTCCCACCAGCCTTTCCTTCGACATGGCTGATGGGGTCAAGGGCCAGTGCTGACCTCGGCCAGGGATTCAGGGTATCTCTAAGGAAAGCAGTGGAAAGAGTTCCACATGTCCATCAGCGTGGGAATATCCAGAAACCTCACATGGAGCGTCCTTTCTAGCATCATCTACTCCTGCCATGCAACACCCCAACTGTAGAACAGCCAAAATCCACAGACCCAAAGCCTGCACAACCCAACCTCACTTAGGGACCCCTGGAGATGCTGGAAATTGCTGGAATGGTGGGCTCTAGGGGCAGCCAGTTTCAATCATTCAGATCTTCTTTCCTCCCACGCACCTGCCAGTCCCCTTCCACCTTCTTCTGCTGGGCTCAGGGTGAAAACTGCATTGGCCTTTTGGGCCACTTAGGTTACAGACTGTTACCAGATTTTTCATCAGTCTGTGCTACATGTGTACCTCTCAGCAGACTGTCCTCTATTCAGCAGTCAGCCGTCGTCACATGGCAGTCAAAGGCATCACAAAGTCATTCATCCAAGCCATGGTTTCCTCTGCAGAGTGAGCAGCCCTTCCTTTCATAGCAGTGCATCCCTGCAGGCCAGCAGGAGCTGGTGACCAGGAGCCCTAGGCCCCTGGAACCTCAGAGGAAGATGGGGGGAGATTTGAACAGTGACGTAACCGAACAGCAGAGACCCTGATGAAGGAAACACTCATTTCCCAAGCAAGGTTTTGATTGACATCTTTGGTTTTTGGTTGCAACTTGCTAATGATTGAATTATCTTCTCCAAAGAAATTTTTCTTTGTGTGATGTCATTAAATAACCTAATAACTTGTCAAAACCTGGATGAAGGGATGAGAAGTTCACCAAACTTGTGTGTTCATGAGAAGTTGCAGCATGGAAGGCATCAATGCTTGCTTGGGGGCTTTTATTGGCAATTGGACTATGGTAGCCTGCAGGAGGATCAGGATCCCTGCCAGCCCTGGGTTCATAGCAGCATAGCCCCGATCCTTCCAGAAGGTGTAAGAACATAGTTGTATTGGTGATTTAGAGAGAAAGTGATGGCGATGGCAGAATGTGGATGACAAGAAGGCAACGTTACCTCGCTGCATGCAGTTTTCATGCTCCCAGAAAGCAAGTGCGATTGAGAGCTCAGCCAGTTTGCTGTGAGTCGTGAATGGGCTTCCCGGCAGGAACATGTTCAAACACAGGACAATTTCTTCTTCGAAGAAAGTGATGCTTCTCCAACAGGGTTTAGTTCATGCTTTGCTTTCACACCTTTTGCCAAGGATCGAACCAAAGATGTGTCTCTGGTTTTGTGTCTATGCTGTCTGTGTGTGTGTGTTTGTGGGCCTCTGTGTTGTCTGATGGTCCACCTGGAACCTGATGGGGCTGTTTTCCACATGGGGCCTGGATCCTGGCACTTGGCAGGGAGCACTAGGTCCTGAGCAGAATCAGAACGAGGAGAAGAATTAGCACAGGTTGGAGAGCGATTGGGTTGGAGAAGAGTTACAGAGCAACCTGGGGTCTCACTGCTTGACTAGTGCAGCTGCAACCAGAGACCTCTATGGTGGCCACCTGGTGTTCTCACCTCAGTCCACAGAGTCTAAGACTAAACCCAGGCCCTTGAAGGTAGGAAAGCCTACCTTCACCTCCCTGGAGGGCAGCCCTTGCCAGAGAGTAGAGAGGTGGTTGTCATTTTCTCATTTCTCAGTGGTGACTACCTTTGGCCCCACCTGTCTCTGACTGAGAGAAGAAAGAACGGATTTTGGGCTGACTCCAGGAGCCACCGCGATGCCCCAGTCTTGACTGCCATGGCAAGATGTGGAGCTGTTTCTTCTCTGGTGAGGGAACCACCAGCTCTGAGGCACGTTGGGAACAGGTCGGGCTCTGGGCTGTTGTGTTAGTCCTTTGTGTGACTTCAGATCTGGCTTCAGAACTTAACATTGCAAAGAGAAAGAAGAGAATCATTTATGAAAGACTGTCTCTCCAATTGATACTCAATATTTGATCTTCGGTTGGTGAAGAAACCTTTTTTAAAGATGGTTTCCCACGGCTGCTGTCCCACTCTGCAGGTTTGCCGGCTATGTACCATGTGAGGCCTGGGCCCTGGCACTTAGTGGGAGCACCAGGTCATGACAAAATCGGGACAAGCAGACTAATCGGCAGGTTGGGGAGGGGTTCGTTTCGGAGACGAGGTACAGACTGACCTGCAGGCTTCGGCGTTCGGCTAGTGCAGCTGTGGCCAGAGGCCTCTGTGGCTGTGGTGTCCCAGGGTAGTCATCTCCGTGTACCCGAGTGCTGTGACCATTTCGTAGCCCCTTGTCTTCTCCTTGCATTTTATTTCCTCAAGAACGTGAACGTTTCAAGGTTGCTGGTAGCTCGTGGAGAATGTGATTCCCATTCCTCACAAGCTTCGAGAACAGCTGCAGATGGCGTGCTATGCACTAGCTGACCACGTCGCAACTGCTGACTTGTATCTGAACTCAGGTTTCTTCCGAACCCGGAGGTCAGAGGGAGTGAGCGAGGGGGATAAACTGTATTTCGTGTGTGTAAGCATCTGACAAATCTATGAAATCGAATGAAAGAAGACATGTTAAAGTCTCTAATATTTTATTATATTTATATGGAAAACTTGACTGTCTCTTTGGTAAGTACAAAGTATGTCTGTTTGAGCCGTGACTACCTTCCCTCAGTCTGTGACTGTGATTTCGGTTGCTCTGTAGTTACTGATGGAAGGGAGCGAATTGTCACTGTGTGAAATCTAGGAGGAAAAGTCCATTTTGATTGTATGGTTTGGTCGTAAGTAAGGACTGTATTTATGTCACCATTACTAAATATGTGTACTTTTATAATGACTGTGAAATAAACTTTTCCCTCACTATGACTGCTTCTTCATTTGCGGATACATTTTAAAACATCGAGTTCATTGCAAGTAGTGGTACCACCTTTTACTCAAAGATCCGGGCCCAGCAAGTGACTGGATACAAGTGGGAATTGAGTTGCGGGGTACTTGGGCCATTTTCTGTCCTGGTATCCCTGCTTTATTTCAGCTGCAACAGGTGCACCTGCACAGTCCAGCTGACTGACGTACTGCAAACGGCAGTTGAGGTGAGTCGCCTTTTTCATTTTTGGGAGAGTCAGGCTCTCCCATGAAAACTCCGAAAATGCCATTTGAAGGATGATATCCATGGGGACCAGCAGTTAGCATAATGGCTATGTCGCTGGACTCCCATGTGGCCGACTGTGGTTTGAGTCCCGGACCCCGTGGCTTAAACTCACACCAGGCGCGTGTGCGTGCACGTCCAAGATCCCAAGAGGAGAATGGAGGAGAAGGGATTGCGGCATGGCCATCCCCCTGGGGGGTGATTTCTCGCTTTCTGTCTCTCTGTCTCTCTGTCTGTCTGGCGAGTGCACATGCCCTATAGCAAAAACCTCTCAAAAATAAAAAAATAAAAAAAAAAAGAATGACTTCCATGAGCATTGCTTCTACTTTGTCTTTGTTTTATGCCTTGGTGGTGAGAGATGGGGAGGGGGGTGTTAAGGTGAGATGGGAGGTCTAGATTCACTGCTGGAATTATCCCAGTCGCCTTCATTACTGTTCACAAGATTGCCATGTCTACCACCTTGCCTAAACCCTCACATCCCTGTATAGTGAAGGAACAAAGGCTCCAAGGATGGCAGGGCATCCCGGTGGAGGAAGCCACTGTTCCTACCACATGAAGCTCTCTCTGAAGTTTTGGAGGAGGGAAGTTCTAGTGCTGATGATGTTTTCTTGTAGGAATCACATTTTAGAGCAGAAATGACCCGAGATTCTCTGGTTCAGCCCCAGCATTTTTTGAAGGGACAACAGGCCCCAAATATTCTATAGTCTCCAGATTCACCAGAGTCCCTGAGAGAGATTACCGATAACAGCAGTTCTGGAACAGAGTGCTCCTTGGGCAAAGAAATTGGAGTGTAGCCGCCACGTCAGAAGGGAGTCAGCAGCAGATCATGCTGTCATTACAGCAGGTATTTTTGAGGCTCCTACAAGGTCAAGGTCATTGCACTTTTTTAATATGTACTTTTTATTTTATGTATTTAATCCCTATACCTCACTTTGCTTGTAAACTGAATTCACCCAACATGAATACACTTCATTATTAAGCCATTCTCAAAGTTGTGCTCTCGTTGAAGTTCTGAATGTCAAACTCTTTCCACCATCACTGTCAACACAAAGCTGGAGAAAGCCTTCTCTTGGGACTGTGCCTTTCTCAATTGTCTCCTGAGGAAGCAGCATGCTCTGGGTAGCCTTGTTCTACTTTTGCTATTACAAGGCTATTGGGTTTTACTGTATTGAATCAATAAACATTTTCTATATAACCATCTCATAAAGCAAGACAAATTCAGAACAAATGCAAGACTGATTTTTTTAGGAGAGGCTGGGAGCCCCTTAGTTATTGGTTTATTTTCTTTGTAGGGTCTTCTATGTGCTGCAGGCACAGTGAGAATAACTCAGAGCAGTCCTGGGAGCTGGTTCAATTTAATGTCATCACTTTTCAATGAAAGGAGCCTATTTCCTGAGTAGTAAATGAGTGTATTATTTGTGGCAGCTTTTTTGTCAGGGGAACTTTCCAGACATCTGTTCCCAGAGACAAATGGGGTATGTATTTGTACTTCATTTTCTGTGGACATGTTTTCACGACATACATTTCTGTCTAAGAGTTGATGTCTGTGAGCACTAGGGGACAGGGAGTGGGGGGCGGGTAGGAGAAAGGTGAAAGTGGTCTTTGGAATAGAAAGGGAAAAAACATTTCAGGCTTTGCGATCTCCTTCCTTTGGTTTCCATGTCTGAGCCGGTGTTCAGATAATGAGGCGTTGGGAGAACCACACGTGAAGCATAGATTAGGTTGATACAGAGCAAACTGAGGGATGAACTGGAATCGAGTGGTTTAAAACCGCATAATGGTACCCTGCAGAGAGGACAGTGCCTGTGTTATTTACAGATGAGAGAGTAAATGGCTCTGACTTAAGTGCCTGAGCTACTTGTGCTCCTTACTCAGAAGATGTCCTAAGAACTATTTTGAAAGTAAAGATTTTGGCTTATATTTAAACTCTGCATTACATCAAAGATGTATTTTTCCTAGACCTGTTGCTACAGCCTGCTGGATAAAGGCAGATTGCACACTCGTATCAGGAACAAGTTGGGCAGTGAATTCATGGCAACTCTGAGATGGAAGTGTCTTCCCATGATCACTGTTCATCTGGCAACCAGTGTGTTAGACAGATTGGGTTTTGCCTTGATGATATAGCAAACCCTAAATCTGTGACATCCCCAATTATTTCGTACACAAATTTTTATGAGATTCAGCTGACTGCAAAAGCACTGCTCTTCCATGTAGTGACTTGGGGATCTAAGGTCCTTCCAGCTCATGGTTCCACCCACTCAAAATGAAGATGTTCTGGTTGCTACCACAGAGGAAAGGTGAGCTGTAGAGTTTTCCACAAGCTCTCAAGTATGAGGGGGCTCATCACTATTCCCTAAGACCCTTTGACTGGACCTGGTCACATAGCCTTGCTAATGAACAAAAGAATGTGAAACATGGGAGAGTATATTTGGGGTAGAGTTAATGTTTCTGCCAGCTTAGGGAAAGTATAGATGCCTGGCATTTAAAGATCCCTGAAATTGGAGTGGCCTTTCTACACTGTTACACAATTATAGCACCTCTTAGTAGGTATGGATTACTTTTTCTAAACAAAGGGATTAGCATTGGTAAATAGTAATATCTCATTTAAGGGGAATATTTTTGGATGAAATGTGTCCTCTCCAAATTGGCACACTAATGTCCTAGCTCTAGTGCCAAGAATGTGACTGTAATTGGAGACAAGGCCTTTAAAAAGGTGAGAAAGTTAAAATGAGGCCATTAGAGTGAACCTAATCCGATCTGACTGGTGTCCTTACAAGAAAAGGAGATTTATTTATTTATTTACTTATTGGAGAGGTTTTTCTATAAGGTGCATGTGCTCGCCAGAAAGACAGAGAGAGACAGAGACAGAAATTGAGAAATCAGCCCCCAGAGGGGATGGTCATGCCACAATCCCTTCTTCTTCATTCTCCTCTCGGGATCTTATGCACATGCACACGCACATGTACCCAGTGTGAGTTTAAGCCACCACGTCCAAGACTTGAACCATGGTCAACTACATGGGAGTCCAGCAACGTAGCCATTACGTCATCTGCTGGTCCCAAGAAAAGGAGATTTGGACACCCAAAAAGATACCAGACTGAGAGAAGGCCATGTGATGATACAGAAGGCAGCGCTCTGTAGCCAAGGAGAAGAACCTTAGGAGAAACTAAGCTGGGTGACACTTTGATCTTGGACTTCCAACCTCCAGAACTGTGAGAAAATAAGTTGTTTAAAGCACTCAGTCTGTGATGTTTTTTTATGGCAGCCCTATCAGACTAATGGGGAAAGCCAAATAATATTTATAAAATCCTACAGATCCTACAAATTTTGTTCCAACTGCTGAATTCATTTATCATTCATATATAACTAAATTGCTCCCAGAAAGTTCCTCTGTTTTGGAGTGATGTTCCCCCTTTTTAGGTGTCTGTGTGCTAAAGCTTAGTGTGCCAGTTACTGATATATTTCCAAATGTACTTTTTTCTTTAATCCAGAGTTCTGTACAGGGCCAGCTAGTGAATATTTTAGGTTGCATTTTGCTGAACCCTGATTTAATATTCCCTATGAAAGGCTGATATTTTCTCCATTTTGCAAAGAAGTTTAGGTAGTTTACCTAGTTCACATAGCTAGTCCTCACAGTTCATTTGAGAGACTCATTGCCTGAAAAGAGAGAGGGTTCCTTTTGTAGTATCTGGAGCAGCTGGCTCTTAGAAGGGTCTGTTTATAATGGTAATGGATTGGTTAAGAGTCTGGGAAAGAAAGGAAAGAGACCCTGGCTTTCCTCTTCTGCCATTCTTTCCTTTTGGTGTCGCTGGTTGATTTATAGGGTTGGTTGCCATTCATTGGGTTGGTAATGGTTCAGGAGAGCCATCCTGGTCATGAGTCTGTCTCTGCCATTGGATGCCTACTCATGAATTCATTACTGCCTTCATCTATGAATGAGCATGGCCCTCCTCAAGCTGTTTTCCATTCAAGCCATTTCTCATTTCTGTTTTTGAATGGCCTCTCAAAATGGGTTCTTGTGTGCTTACAAAAAGAGAGCGCATACTCAAAGTCTTGGGAAACAAGTCTAAATCTAGAGCAGATGTGAAGCAGAATGATGCTCATAGAGGAGTCATTACCATTACTCACAAGCAGATGACGTGGGGCCCTGGGTGGGACAAGCATCCCTGACACTGAAACATGAATCGTGTCATCTGAGTCAGAGTTCCGAAAAACCCATTCAGAGTCCTTGCCACCCACAGCCCCATCAATTACATGAGCCATTCTCACTTTCAGAGCATTCAGGCCCAACTCAGACAAGCATAGGGACCTTGGAGGTCATTCAGCCCTGGGCTTGGACCCAGGAGTTTGAAGCAGTCACCCGTACATATATTCTTAGGATAAGGATGATGTAGCTTCCTGGAGCATACTTTTTATAACGCACTGCTAATTAACTCACCAAAATATTTTTACTTAAAATTTACTTATGTTGTATATTCAGTTGCAAAATCAGTATGATTTTCATTGTTTTCCCTGGGTTGGAGCATTGCAGGTAATTTTTTTTTTTTTTTTTTTAGGTTTTTGCCATAGGGCATGTATACATGCTGGAGAGAGACATAAAGAAGGAAAGTGAGAAATCCAGGAGAGATGATCATGCTGCAATCCCTTCTCCATTCTTCTCTCAGGAATTTTGGCATGCATGTACATGTACTTGGCATGATTTTCAAGTCACCGACTTCAAGACTGGAACCATGGTCAGCCATGCGGGAGTCCAACATCTTAACCACAATGCCACCATTGACCGTAGCGGGTAATACTTTTTTTTCTTATTCTTATGATTTTTTTTTTCTTTTTAAAAATTTATTTAATACATTTAATCATTGTGTATAATACTTTTAAGAAGTCAAAGTCAGGTTCAATCTTCCTTATTTACAGATAACGCATTTGAGGCCATAATGGACAAATAATATGTTGAAGAACTCACAACTGTCTCCAAATTCAGCTCTCCCCCCTCTAGCCCAGATGAAGAGCTCAGAATTAAAAGAAGGCC